GATCTCAGCTCAGGTCTTAATCTCAGGGTCGTGAGTTCAAGCCCTGCACTGGGCTCTGCACTGGGCCTGAAGCCTACTTTAAAATAGAAAAGAAAAAAGAATTAGTATTAGTGACATAAGATTGCAGCCATTATGGCCTTGGACAATTTATGAAAATCAAATATGCAGTCTTAAAATTAAATGTGAATATAAATACCCAGGAGTACCCCCATCTGTAAGATTTGTAATAAAAATTAATATGAATGGAGTTAAGAGTTCTAATGGAGTGGTGGACCCAAGAGACATATCAGTGTTAGCAAAATGGCAGAATTCACATAGCATCAAAGTTGTCCTGTGAGAGCTTCAGCGCCTAATGATGTCTAAAGAAAACGAAACTGCCTCAGCCACTGGAAGGACACTGTTACAACAAGTATTCAAAAAGAAAAACCACAGCCCCCTTCCCCCAGTTCGACTGACTGACTGGAAGAGTGTCCCATAATACAAGAGACTTTTTAAGAATTCAAATATATGATTACTACTCTTTTTTCTAACCTTTATTTATTTATTTTTTTGAGAGACAGAGCATGAGCTGGGGAGAGGCAGAGAGAGAGAGAGACACAGAATCTGAAGGAGGCTTCAGGCTCTGAGCTGTTAGCTCAGAGCCCAACATGGGGCTCCAACCCATGAACTGAGAGATCATGACCTGAGCAGAAGTCCAGTGCTCAACGGACTGAGCCACCCCATACAGGCACCCCATACTACCCTTTTTTTTCTAAGAGAATTTTAGAGGAGGGTTTATTCTTTTTTTTACACATGTAATATAGTTGCTATGTACACTTGAAAGCCCGTATTAGAATGGAATACAGCAATACAAAACTTGATTGTTGTTTTTAATTTTTTAATGTTTATTAATTTTTTGAGAGAGAAAGAGTGAGTGAGAAAGAGTGAGGGGCAGAGAGAGAGAGAGGGAAGCATAGAATCCGAAGCAGGCTCCTGGCTCTGAGCTGTCAGCACAGAGCCTGACACGGGGCGTGAACCTATGAACTGCGAGATCATGACCTCAGTCAAAGTAGGACACTTAACCAACTGAGCCACCCAGGTGCCCCACAAAACTTGTTTCAATTTAAAAACTGCTATTCTTGGGACACCTAGCTCGTTCAGTTGGTGGATCATGTGACTCTTTTTTTTTTTTTTTTAAGTTCATTTATTTTGAGAGAGAAAGAAAGAGTGAGCAGGAGAGAGTCTGAGAGGTAAGGAGAGAAAGAATCCCAAGTAGGCTCTGCACGGTCAACACGAAGCCCACTGTGGGGCTTGATCCCATGAACCACGAGATCATGACCTGAGCTGAAATCAAGAATCCGATGCTCAACGACTGAGCCATCCATGCACCCCCAGAGGGGTACATTCTTAAGCATTAAGGTGATTCTTGGTTTTCCTCTAGGCTAAGTATGATTCTATATATAGGAATCAAGTTAGAGCAAATCTCGAGTTTTTGCCAGCAAGTCATTTCAGTGAAGATTTCATCAGTATTGTATATATGCCAAGTCATGAGTTCTTTTCAAATTTAGGAGCTAGTTTATGACGGTAGAAACAATTTTGGCAGTAGGAAGGGAACTGAGTTCTAGTCCAACTATGTGACCTTAGGCAAATCATTAACTTTTATGTATCTCATTTTCTTCATCTTTAAAACAAATATTTGATTAAAGTTCTTTTAAAATCTGAAATTGTAGGGCATCTGCGTGGCTCAGTTGGTTGAGCCTTGACTCTTGATTTCATCTCAGGTCATGATCTCACAGTTCATGGGATTGAGCCACATGGGGCTCAGCGCTGACAGCATGGAGCCTGTTGGGATTCTATCTCTCCTTCTCTCTCTCTGCCCCACCCCTGCGCTCCCTTCCTCTCTGAAAATAAATAAACTTAAAAAAAATCTGAAATTATAGTTTAATGGTTTTGTGAAGATTTAGCTTTATAAAGACATGTTTGAACCATAATAGTATTAGAAACATTGAAAATTCAATCAGGGTGATTCATAAAAAGGAGTGAATTGTGGGCATCTTGCCTGGCTTACAGAATGTTATTAAATCTGAATCATTGTTACCCATATCAAACTTAAGTCCATGACTGATAAGCCTACCTCTCTGTCTTTTTACCCTCTCTTTTAATAACAGTTTTATTGAGGTAGGATTCACATACCATACAATTCACTCATTTAAAGTGTACAATTCAGTAATTTTTAGTATACTCACAGAATTGCACAGCCATCACCAGAATCAATTTTAAACATTTTCATCACCCCATTAGGAATGTACCTGTAAGCAGTCACTTTCCCTTTCTCCTCAAACTCCCAGCCCTAGGCAACCCCTAATCTACTTTCTGTCTCTATATAGATTTGCCTATTCTGAACACTTCTTATAAATATGTGGCCTTTTGTGTCTGGTTTCTTTCACTTAATACAATATTTTTCAAGGTTTATCCTTACTGTAATATATAGCAACACTTTATTTCTTTTTGTTGTCAAACAGTATTCCATTGTATACCACATTTTTATCTGTTCATCATTTGATGGACATTAGGGTTGTTTCCACTTTTTGGCTATTGTGAATAATGCTACTACAAACATTTGCGTATAAGTTTTTGTGTGGACATATGTTTTTATTTCTCTTGGATATATACCTAGAAGTGGGAGCTGGGTCTTATGGTTATTCTATTTAATAATTATTTGAGGAACTGCTGGGCTGTTTTCCAAAGCGGCCGCACCGGTTTACATTCCCACCAGTAATGTACCAGGATTCTAATTTCTCTACATCCTCCCTTACACTTAGTATTTTCTCTCTTTTTGATTTTAGGCATCCTAGTGGGTGTGAAGTGGTGTTTCATTGTGGTTTGATTTTCATTTCCCTGACGTTGAAGGATGTTGAGCATCTATTCATGTGCTTATTAAGGCTACCTCTTTGGCTGACTTCTGATGTTGGGAATGTGATGTGGTTGAAGTTGATCTACCTTTTCCCTCTTTTCCCTCAAGTGTCAATTGAGCATTCTGAAGTATCAAATAAGCAATCTTTTGTTACTACTGGTAGAGAGTAAATCAAAGCTGTAATTTAATCCACGCATCTGTTTTCACCTGTATTTCTGTAAAATGCAACAACAAAGAATTTTATTGGAAGTATGACCTGTATTTTACATTTGATTTTTTTAAATTTTTTATTTATTTTTGAGAGAGCAAGAACCAGCAGGGGAGGAACAGAGAGAGAGGGAGACAGAGAATCCCAAGCAGGCTCTGCACTGTCAGCATGGAGCACAATGTGGGGCTGGAACCCACAAACCATGAGATGATGACCTGAGCCGAAATCAAGAGCTGGATGTTTAACCGACTGAACCACCCAGGCACCCCAGTATGACCTGTATTTTGGTTGGAATTGTTACCTATCTTTGATTAGGGGACAGAACTTTCATTGATATATTTTAACACCGAAATCTTGGCAATTTGCTGTATCTTTCGAACGTTCGTGAGTAAAACTACAACATAGAAAGCAGTATCTTGTCTGGGACAGGGATGCCTGGGTGGCTCAGTTGGTTGTACATCCAACTCTTGATTTCGGCTCGGGTCATGATCTCATGGTTCATGGGTTCGGGCCCTGCATCAGGCTCTGTGCTGACAGCTCAGAGCCTGCTTGGGATTCTGTCTCCCTCTCTCTCTGCCTCTCCCCCGCTCATTCAGTCTCTCTCAAAATAAATAAAAGCAAACTTAAATATCTTAGTCACACAAAGATGTGAATGAAGCATGTCTGGGAATCTGGTAGAAAACCTTTTCATATTTATATTAGCCCTATTTCCTTTATGTTATGAAAGTTTTGTGTATTAATACAGATGTATAATTGTTTTTCATGAGCCTTTTTAACTTAGGATGTGGCCTAAAATAGGTTAGTTTGAAATGATACTTTTGTTACTACAAACTTAATTTATGAAATTAAGAATATTTAGTTTTAGGGACACCTGGCTGGCTCAGTCGATAGAGCATGTGACTCTTGATTTCAAGGTTGTGAGTTCAAACCCCACGTTGAGTATGAAGCCTACTTAAAGAAAAAAAAAAGAATATTTAGTTTTAGTAGAGATTTTGCTCTTAAAAAAGTTAATTGTTGCAGTCTAGATTTGTCTTAGTTCAGTCAGATATGTGAAGTAATGTTTTTTATTTCCATTCCAGAAATACATGCTACAGGATTTAATTATCAGAATGAAGATGAAAAAGTCACCTTGTCTTTTCCTAGCACTCTCCAAACAGGTAAGAGTCATGGCTTTTGTAAGATCCCATGTGACATCTTATTTCTTCCAAAGTAGTGACATCTTACTTCTTCCAAAGAAATTTGTTGTGTGCCTTTTTTTTCCCCTCACCGTTTTTTTTTTCTCAATATATGAAGTTTATTGTCAAATTGGTTTCCATACAACACCCAGTGCTCATCCCAAAAGGTGCCCTCCTCAATCCCCTCACCGTTTTAAGCAGATTAAATATTAAGACAAAGCTTTTGAAAGAGGTTCATTAAAGCTTTTGGGCCACCAGGAAAAAAGATGACCAAAACTAATGATCATCCTATCCTAGAACATAATGCATTGTTTTTCACCTTTTTAGTTTCAGCTTTAAAAAAAATACAGTTACTCAGCTCTGTCTTTCCATACTTGAATCCACATGTCTGAGGTGAATTTCCCACAGATGATTTTGATGTATATTATGCAAGTGAGGGCACGAAAGGAAATATTTGTTGATACGATACTATTATTAGGTATAAAAGCACAAAGAAAGGGGTGCCTGGATGGCTCAGTGGTTAAGCGTCCAACTTCGGCTCAGGTCATGATCTCATGGTTTGTGAGTTCGAGCCCTGTGTCAGGCTCTGTGCTGACAGCTCGGAGCCTGGAGCCTGCTTCAGATTCTGTGCCTCCCTCTCTCTCTCTGTCCCTTCCCCGCTAGCACTCTGTCTCTTTGTGTCTCTCTCAAAAATAAATAAACATTAAAAAAAACACACACACACAAAGAAAAAGAAGACTGAGCTTAATGTAGTATAAGAAATTACATACAAGTCAATTGGTAAAGCACTATATGACTTTGATTTATGATCAATTTGAAAAGCAGCAGGTGAAGTACACTTTTGATAAGCACCGAGAGTTGTATGGAAGTATTGAATCACTGTATTGAAAATCTGAAACTAATATAACACTGTGCATTAACTAACTGGAATTAAAAGTTAAAAAAAAAAAAAAGCAACAGGTAATTTGTATAAAAGAAAATGCAAATGACTAAAACATGTGAAAAGACATTTGACTTCCTAGTAATGAGAAATATGAAAACAGCATTTACTGATACACCAGTTTTTGTCTGTTATGTAAGCTAAAGTTAAAAAAAAGATTCTCAATGATTTGACTACTTTGATATTACTGGTGGGAGTGCAAATCCATGCAGTGTAGTTGGAAGGCAGTCTGGAAATATGTATCAAAAGCCTGGGGGGCCTGAGGGGCTCAGTTGGTTAAACTTCTGACTCTTTAATCTTGGCTCAGGTCATGATTTCACAAACTGTGAGATCAAGCCCCCTGTCAGGCACTGTGCTGACAGCATGGAGCCTACTTGGGATTCTCTCTCTCTCCTTCTCTCTCTGCTCTTTTCCTGGTCGTGCTCTCTCTTGCACTCTCAGAAAAAAATAAACTTAAAAAAAACATGTCTAAACATGTTCATGTCTTTTGACTCAGCAGTTCTGAATATAAAGAAAAATCCTAAATGCAAGAAATGCTTTATGCTTAGAAATGTCTGTTGAGACATTACTTAAGGCAGTAAAAAATAAGAGTGAATATATTTACCCAACAGTAAGGGAATAATTAAGCTAATTATGACATATCAGTATGGTGGAATATATATAGCAATTAAAAGTGAGGTTATGAATTCTTAATGCTGTGAAGTGCTTGTTATAGTGTAAAATCGAAAACCAGAATACAAAATTACATATACAAGGTGATGAATCATATCCCTAAAATTGTACAAATAAAATGGTATGTCTGGTTGTTGACATATTGATTATTTTTATTCTTATTTATACCTTTTTTTAGTTTCCGTAATTTTCAAAAATGTTTATTTACTTTGAGAGACAGACTGTGAGCAGGTTAGGGGCAGAGAGGGAGAGTTGAGAGGGAGAGAGAGAGAATTCCAAGTGGGCTCTGCACTGTTAGCACAGAGCCCGACGTGGGGCTTGAACTCGTGAACTATGAGATCATGACCTGAGCTGAAGTCAGGAGTCGGATGCTAAATCGACTGAGCCACCCAGGTGCCCCAGTTTCCATAGTTTTTATACTGATAATATATTGCCTAGTATTTTTAGAAAAAATAAAAAAAACTTTTTTTACATTTATTTATTTTTGAAAGAGATAGAGCACAAGTGGGGGAGGGGCAAAGAGAGAGGGAGACACAGCCTCTGAAGCAGGCTCCAGGCTCTGAGCTGTCAGCACAGAGCCTGACGTGGGGCTCGAACCCACAAACCATGAGATCATGTGAGCCGAAGTCAGACACTTAACCAACTGAACCATCCAGGCACCCCTAGAAAAATTTTAAATCGGAGAAGTTTTATTTTTTATTTCAGTCCTCTTTTCATTTTGCCTTTTTCTAACTAGGATTTCTTGTATGAAATGATCATAAAAATAAATGTTTTGCCATGAACATGTATTAAAAGATACTGAATAATATAACATAAAAATTGAGATTTCTCTTCCTCTGATCCCTTCCACTTCCATCATCTGGTGAATCCTTCAAGAAATATTTCATCTAGGGGCGCCTGGGTGGCTCAGTCAGTTAAGTGTCTGACTTCGGCTCAGGTCATGATCTCACAGTTTGTGGGTTCGAGCCCCGCGTCGGGCTCTGTGCTGACAGCTCAGAGCCTGGAGCCTGTTTCAGATTCTGTGTCTCCCTCTCTCTCTGCCCCTCCCCTGTTCACGCTCTGTCTCTGTCTCAAGAATAAACATTTTTTAAAAATTAAAAAAAAAAAATAAATAAATATTTCATCTATGTAGAAGTATATACATACATTTTCATCTACAAATGGGATGACAAATCTCAGTGGCTTACAGCAGAGAATTCTTGCTTACACACAGCCCTGAGGACTGCTGCAGCCTTCTTTCCACCTTTACCTAAGAGCTCCACTCAACTCACAACTCTTCTCTTTCTAGGACCTGTAGTAAGCAGCTTCTGCAACTCAGGGATGGGGACAGAAACAAACCATAAAGATACATTTAACGCTTCTGCACGAATGGTGGTATACTTGATGTCCATTCTCATTTCACTGGTTGAAGCAAATAGCATGGCCAAGCCCAAAGTCACTGGGGCAACAATTACCAGATATTTGACTAAACTTCTATGAAAGAGTCAAAAACCAGACAATAATAGAAATAATAGAAACTTGCTACAAGACAAAAATAAAGTCACAAAAAACCCCACAAAACAAATGAATATCCTTAGAGATATTGTTAATAGCATATTCATCAAATAAGAACAGGACAGAATGTTATCAAACAGAATTAGAGCAAGAAAACTTTGGAAATTATAATACAGTAGAAATAAAAAAACTTAGGGAGCCTGGATGGCTCATTCGGTTAAGCGTCTGACTCTTGATTTCGGCTCAGGTCATGATCTCATGGTTCATGAGTTCAAGTCCTGTGTGGGGCTGGGCACTGACAGTGCAGAGCCTGCTTGGGATTCTCTCTCTCCCCCTCTCTCTCTGCCCCCTCTCGCGCACATGTTTGTGCCCTCTCTCTCAAAATAAATAAATAAAAACGTAAAACAAAAAAAGAAAGAACTCAATAGAAGTTTTGGAAAATGAAATAGAGGAATCTTACAAACGGGAAGAAGATTTGAGGACCAATCTATCAGAACCAACATCCATCTAGTAGAAGAGGGGACAGAGAAAATGAGAAGAGAAAATTATTAAAGACACAAACAAGAAGATTCCTTTGAACTGAGGGGATTGGAATCTTCATTTTGAAAAGGTACACCACCGAGAGGGACTAACTTAATAAATGTAAAAAATGCCGTATCATTGCAAATCTTAGAACTTCCAGGGATAAAAGTGAGGCTCTCAAAGAGTTTCTCCCCAAAGTCAGGGGGTTGGGAGGAAGGAGGGAATGCTAGCAGGTTACCTTCCAAGTTCAGGAATCAAAATAACAGTAGACTGGGGAGTGGGTAAAATGGGTGAAAAGGAGTGGGAGATACAGGCTTCCCTTTATAGAATAAGTTGGGGGGGATTAGAAGTACAGCATAAAAAACATAGTCAGTGGGATTGTAATAGCTTGTATGGTAACAGGTGGTAGCTACACTTGGATGAGCACTGCAGAGCTTATAGACTTGCCAAATCACTATGTTTTACACCTGAAACTAATGTAACATTGTGTGTCAACTATACTTGAATGAATGATATTTTGTTCTTAAAAAAGGGATAGTAGGGGCGCCTGGGTGGCGCAGTCGGTTAAGCGTCCGACTTCAGCCAGGTCACGATCTCGCGGTCCGTGAGTTCGAGCCCCGCGTCGGGCTCTGGGCTGGTGGCTCGGAGCCTGGAGCCTGTTTCCGATTCTGTGTCTCCCTCTCTCTCTGCCCCTCCCCCGTTCATGCTCTGTCTCTCTCTGTCCCAAAAATAAATAAAAACGTTGAAAAAAAAAAAATTAAAAAAAAAAAAAAAAGGGATAGTAGTAGACCATCAGGAACAATGGAAACTAGACCCTAATGAAGCCATTCCTTCAAAATTATGAATGAATATGATTCTCAACCTAGAATTAATTCTGTGCTTAGCCAAATTGTGAATTTAAAGAGGGTAAAATAAAGATATTTTCAGATTTGCATGGTCATAAAAAAAAATTTAACTCTTTGTAAAAAATAAAGGAGTGGGAGATGTAATTTAGCTAAAACTTTACTTTCTATAGTAAAAAGAAAATAATATGTAAAATTGAAAAATGAAGAAATAGCTGTATAAGCAAGGTATTTAGAAATCACAGAGTTGGGGTGCCTGGCTGGCTCAGTCGGTTAAGCTTCTGACTCTTGATTTTTGCTCAGGTCATAATCTCCCATTTATGAGATAGAGTCCCGCATAGGGCTCTGCACTGACAGCTCTGAGCCTGCTTGGGATTGTCTCTCTCCCTGTCGCTCTCTCTCTCTGTCTCTCTCTCTCTTTCTCTCTCTCTCTCAAAATAAATAAACATTAAAAAATAATAATAAAGGGGCACCTGAACGGCTCAGTCGGTTGAGTGTCTGACATCTGCTCAGTTTCATGATCTTGAGTCCTGCACTGGGCTTGCCGCGGTCAGCCTGTCAGCACAGAGCGTGCTTCAGATTCTCTGAAAAATCCCCTCCCACCCCTCCCCCATGCAAGCTCGCTTGCCCTCTCTCTCTCTCTCTCTCTCATATAATAAATAAAACATAAAAGTTTAAAAAATAATAAAAATAAAATTCATAGGATATATAGTGGAAATGTGTTTGCCATTCTAGTCCTAACTCAGCTCTACTCAAAAGCAACCAGTTTCCTATGTATCCTTTCAAAACTATTCCATAGTTTTGTAAACATGTCTGTATATACTGTTTAAGAACACAGACGTTAGGGGCACCTGGGTGGCTCAGTTGGTTGAATGTCCGACTTTTGGTTTCGGCTTGGGTCATGATTTCTTGGTTTGTGGGTTTGAGCCCTGCATCCGGCTCTGTGCTGACAGGGTGAAGTCCTCTTGGGATTCTCCCTCTTTGCCCCTCCCTTGTTGGCTTTCTCTCTCTAAACAAACAAACCAACCTAAAAAAAAAAAAACCCATAAAGGTTAGCATGCCACATATCATATTCTGTACCCTTCTTTTCCCCTTAATTGTGTGTGTATTTGGAGAAATACCGGGTGATACTGACATTTTGAAGAGTGAAAAACAGGTTCACAGGAAATGGTGGCATGAAGGCAGAGACCTTTACTCTCTTTTTATACAAATTAATCTGTCTTTAATTTTTTAGCATTTAGTAGGCTCATTAAATTTTTATTGAAGTATTTCAAGGTCTACATGAGGTTTTATAGCAGTTCTATCCTAAGCAGGATAGCAAATAGAGTTTTTGGTAGAAGTTGCAATTTTTCTGTTGTTTAATTTATAAATGAATTTATTGTATGTTTTAAAAGGTTTACCATTCCAAGCAGATAAGTATTGCATACACTGGATATTGAAATAAGGTGTCTAATGTGAGGAACAATGTAAATTTTGTACACAAACAGGTATAAAATTAGACAGTCTGGCAATCAGTTCTTCAGTATGCTGTAAATTTGATAAGTTGACGTTTATTAAGAAGTCTTTTCTCTCCTGTTTTTGCCCTAAAATTCTATATTAGTGTAAGCATTTTGTAATTAGTATTTATGTGACACTACTTAAATTTATTAATGATTTTTTAAATTTTTTTTTTTTTTTTCAACGTTTATTTATTTTTGGGACAGAGAGAGACAGAGCATGAACGGGGGAGGGGCAGAGAGAGAGGGAGACACAGAATCGGAAACAGGCTCCAGGCTCTGAGCCATCAGCCCAGAGCCCGACGCGGGGCTCGAACTCACAGACCGTGAGATCGTGACCTGGTTGAAGTCGGCCGCTTAACCGACTGCGCCACCCAGGCGCCCCGATTAATGATTTTTTAAAACTTTAACTTGTGTTTTGTTTGAATTTCAGGTAATAACCTTTTCCAATACTTTGTATTTTGTTTAGTATGCCACTTTTTTGGAAGTGGTCACTATCAGTATCTTGTTATGGTTTGATGGCCTTGGAGATTTAAAACCGAGTAAAAGTGTAAGCAGCCTTTCTTATTTAGTTATGAGTTTTGAATCCATTTGTATTCCAAATAGGAAAAGGCAAAAGTAGATTTTCCATGGAGTATGAATTACATAAAAGAAATTTTAACAGTTGACTTAGTGAAAACAGACTGGCAGTTTCCATTTATGGGAATTGCAACATAACATTGCATCATACAACTTCCCTTTAAAGGTAGTGGGTTTTTAGAATCTATTAGATATTCCTTATAAACTTTATTAATGTGACTATATCTGCTTTTTTAAAGATTAGTGAATTCCTAAAGAAAACAAATTTTATACTATAATTCTTTAGTATATAATACTATATATACATATCATTTGGTATCACTCATTTAGAATTCTTTCACATTCTTTTATTGTATTCTTATTTACTGTCCCAGTAATCTGTCATTCTCTTTAAGAAAGTATTCATTGTCCCCTTCAGACAGAATGTCTGATTTTTAAAAAATCAGAGTCACAAACATTTATTTAAATAAACTTCAGTTTTTTTCCCAGCATGATTATTTTAAGAATATGGCACTTTTGGGTGCCTGGCTGGCTCATCAGGAGAGCGTGCGACTCTTGATCTTGGGGTCATGAGTTCAGGCCCTGCATTGCGTGCAGAGCTTACTTAAAAAAAAAAAAAAAAAATAGAACATGGCACTTTGTTGAGTGATGACTTTGCCACAAAGGTCTGAAATTTTCACTTGAAATTACTTTCAGAATGAGTTTGAGGTACATAAGGAAATCAGTTTAATTACTTAATTGACATACTTAATAGACCACAGTGTTTTGTCCAGAAACAGTTTGCAGTTTGTCATTCACTTATTCTGTAGACTTGGACTCTTCGTGACTTTTGGACCTTTTTAAAAAAGTTGAATTTTGCAAGGTGAAGATTTGACTTTGAGAACATCCGAAAGGATATGTCAGAAAGATAAAGAGTCAAGAACATTTTAAACAATGTCAGTGGCATTGCTCTGTGGCATTCCAAAATGACAGTTTAAAACATTAGGGTATAAAATGTTTTAGAATGATTGCCTAATTACTTTATAATCATACTATGTCTTTGATTTGTTAGATTCCCATGCTCTAGCTCTTGTTATAAATAGGCACTTTTAAAAGGATCAAGTAAAAGTCAACATTTTTCTGGTTGGTTTTTGGGGGGGGTTTAATTTGTAAAATGTAGAATGGGATTATTGTTTTGTCATGCATCTGAATTTCATAGATGACTATAGATAATATTTCTGTTGTGAAAGAAAGTATATATACTCACAAAAACTCCCATTTTGTCTAATTTGGTTTGCCCTTATACAATAATAGAATATATATTCAAGTTGCATTTTTATTTGCATTTAGTAATTATTGATTAAATGTATTTCTTTTATCATTTCAAATGATTGAGGTGACTATAAGAGTTTTTATGCCCCTTTGCTAGCCAAATCATTGATCTTCCATATATAGTTCCTTACAAAAGTAGGGAATCAGTGTTCCATTTGGATTGAACAGATAAGGTCTTATCTTACTGATAGAGTAATTGGCATGAATTCATCTAAATGGACCAATTTATATGGCATAATTGGCAAAGGACATGAATTTTGGATTAAGCAGGCCTAAATTTTTATCTCATTCTTGCTGCTTACTAATCGTGTGACCTCAAGCAAGTTATTGAAGTCAGTTTCCTCATCTGAAAAAAATGGAGACTATACCAACTTTCAAGTTTCTAAATATTTTTAAAGCACCATGCACAGTAACATGTCATACATTTATTAACAAATGTTCATTTCCTCTTCTGTTTTTATCTTTATGTATTGGTGATTTGAGATGAAGTTAATACAGTTAAAGAACTTAAAAAAAAATTTTTTTTTAATATTTATTATTGAGAGACAGGGAGAGACAGAACATGATCATGGGAGGGGCAGAGAGAGGAGGAGACACAGAATCCAAAGCAAGTTCCAGGCTCTGAGCTGTCAGCACAGACCCGACGCAGGGCTCGAACTCAGAAACCGTGAGATCATGACCTGAGCCGAAGTCGGACAGTCAACTGACTGAGCCACCCAGGCGCCCCAATACAGTTAAAGAACTTTATAAGCAGTCACCCTAAACATGATGTTAAGATTTACTTTAGGATTAGTCTGCCATTTCCTTTAGTAAATACTGTATTCTCTCCTTTGCTGGGAGAAGTGTTTGAGAAAGGAAAGAATGAGTTGAACGTTGTAACAGGTCAGCTAAGTTAGTGTCTTAAGGACATATTTTTAATAACTTGAACTAATATCTATATTAAAGTGGTTTTCATTCATTTTCAATCACAGGTACAGGAACCTTAAAGATAGATTTTGTTGGAGAGCTGAATGACAAAATGAAAGGCTTCTACAGAAGTAAATATACTACCCCTTCTGGAGAGGTGCGTTATGCTGCTGTCACACAGTTTGAGGTATGGTATTCTTCTCTAAAATATTACGATTTTGATGTATAAACATTCTGACAAAGTTCTGTTCTATTATTTGCATGATTATTCTGTTCCCTTCATATTGGTTTATGTCTAATGTCTGTCCCTCAAATGAATTTTTGAGAGCTTTCATCACTTTGTCTTTTAGATATTTGAGAAACTGGTTTTTTTTTTTTTTTAGAAACTTTTAAATCTTATCCATGTTAATTCATTTAATTTATTCTAGTATCAATTCATTTACCTACTGCTGCTGCTCCTAATCGAAAAGTTTTCTGTGCTACCATTTCTTTCCTTATACCCTATTTACTTTTCAAATAAGTAAGTAGAATGAATTCATCATTTATTTAACTTCTTTTAGAGTGCAGCCAGCCATCTAACATTTTCCTTGGAGAAACTTTTTTCCAAAAGTATGTGCTTCCTCTACTTCTGCATATTTTGTTCCTTCTTTTCAAGATACAGCATCTTGTCATCGGTTCTTTTTTTTTTTTTTACTT